CTCCTCCGACATAAAACCCAAGACTTAAAACCCAGATAACTCACCAAACATGAACTTCATTATGTTCCCCAGTACAAGAGACTGTAAGCTTCCTGAAGTAAGATTTTTTTTTATGTAGATCTAAGTCATAAAATGAAGTATAGGTAATGTCAGTAGACAGAAATGGAATACAAATATTACTTACATTTACAACACAACCTACAAGAACATAATAACATCTACCACTGAACACCTCTTTATATCAAAGGGTTGTATTTCTCTAAGACATATTAAACTGATACAATTAGAAAAGAAAATTTGATCAGAAAAAAATACTAACACAAAAAGCTGTCTCTTAGTCACCAAAGATAATGTTAATAGATAAGCTCTGATTTGTTCTCCACAGTACTTCGAGTCAGAATGGGCATTACAGCAGCCTCTGTATAATTATGCTGAGTACTAAGAGAATAAGTATTCAAGTAATATGAATAAAGTATGTTGTTGAAAGCAGATTTAGCTAAAGAATTATGATGTATATAGTTATTTGACGAAGTTATTAAAGTTATATATTTAAAATGTAAGGCCAGCTCACAGCCTGCTGTACTCAGTGGTTAATCTGCTTATCTATGAATATAATGCTAAGGTCTTCAAAATAACCTTGAATTTTTAAAACATCTGTGTACAGCACAGGCAATGATAACATGCCCTGGCACTGCTGCTCTGGTTGAAAAAAGGCAGCTAGGAAACAGGTACTGACAAGGAAAGCCCTTCAATTTTGTTTGTTCTTTTTATACATGAGTAAATGACCAGGAAGAAGAGTTTTACTATGGAAAAAAATGAATGGCCAATGCATACTCAGAATACATATACATGTTTTTTTTCCTTTTTGAAAGAAGCCCTTGTTATAGATATTGTACTCTGCATGTAGCAGTGTTTAACAAACCATTTGTCTTCATTAACATTTAGAACTGTAAGTAAAAGCTTTGGCTATGTTCCATGTTAAAAAAGAAAAAGGCTGCTCTTCAATGAAAATTTTAACAAAGGTACCTATTATCTAAAACACATTAAACTTGAAACTACTAGCTGTTACTCTCACCTTCCTAAAAGATTAATAAAAGGAGCAAAAACAACAATCTAAATAACAAGCCCTGATCTACACCCAGTTATAATCTAGCTTTCTATTTGTCATCTAAATTCTTTTTTTATAAATGAAGCCTTGAAAAATGACAGGTTTGTCTTTATTTCACATTTGAAATATATTCTGTACTGTATATTAACAATATTTCACTTTAATATTTCAAGTATCTGAATATTCTTGATGAAAAAATACTCTCAGAGCATAACTCGCAGTGATATCAGTCTTTGAGGTCACTGTTTTAACTGATCCTAGATTTTTTTCCCCCATCCTTTCAATATAGTATGTAGTCTTAATAGCACATTACCTTTCTAAATACAATATTATACTGGTGTAACATGAAGTCTTTTTTTTTAATTAGACCTATACACTCATAGCAAAAGAACTTTACTGTATACACATACAAGAATTATAGGACTCTCAGTTTACTTGTTTCTTCTTTCTTCAGTGAAATACTAGATAGTGCCCTTGAGGCATGACTAGTTTACCAGGATTTCATCAAAAAGTCTAACTCCGTAGCTTGAAACAATCAGTTTTTATCTTACTGGTATCCTGTTCCTATTCTTACACAATTTACCCATAAGAATAACTTCAACTGCAGGTGAAAAATTATTTGGTACTGTTAGCACTTTCGCATAATTGTACTATCCTGTACAATACTCACAACAATCTTCAAAATACGTTATTTGAATGTACATTCTTTTATATTTGGTACATTTATTAAATAAAATGATACGGAGTGTAAATCTTACCCATACCAAGAGGTGCTCTGAGAATAAGGTCTTTTTATCAACAAATACACAGTGGTGTTGTCTTCTTTAGCTCAAAATTACAACGCAAGACCTTTAACTTTTGTACCACACTATAATGATATTGATCACTTTTCTCTAATGTGTACATCTGTTACTTTTATGACAATGTCAGGAAAGGTTTAACCAACATAACATACAAAACATGATGACCAACCAGGTCTTCCTGAATCTGACATCCACAGCTTCCACAGTTCACTATCACACATGGACCATCATCACAATAGCATAGAAGCACCAACTATTTTCAAAAGTGACCAGATTCCATCCTTGCCCTCTAAGAGTATTCATTACAGATCATTTGATGATGATACTTCTCATGTGAAAAGTAAGGCACAATATTTCGAGACATTACTCTATAAAAGCAAGCCAGACAACTTCAGAGGCTAGGTATGGTATTGAGATAAAAAATCCTTACATCTCATTCTTACCCCAGTATTTATCATACAGTTAATAACAAAATATGAAAGATATTGTTGCAAATTGACATTACATCACTGAGGGTTACCATCATCAATATGCTTATATTGAACATATCATAGAATACTGAAAATCATTTGAATGACATCTTACATTCTTAAAACTGCAACTACACAATGTGCACAATATAGTCAGTGATACCTGTGCTTTTAATGATTTTTTTAAATAGAACATACAAAATTTCATTATACTGGAACAGTAACTCACCACTTGTATAATGCAAGAACTTTTAACTGGAATAAACAATTTTAACAAAATCAATTTTGTATTTATTTACAAGCAACTATACATGTAGATAATGAATATAATAACAATATTTTAAGAATGAACAACAATGAAAATGGTGATAATACTGATAATATTAAAAAAAAAAAACAAGGTAAATGGTGGAAATATTGAAAAAGAAAAAAATATTGTCCTTATCATCACAAAAAACAACTTGGCAACAGCTTTAACTAGTGAAAATAATGGTCAATTTTTAATAAAATGTAAGCACCAATACATACAACAACAATAACAATAATAATAAAAATAATAATTTAAAAAATCATAACTTTAGTAGTATGTAAATAAAATTAAATCACACTGACTATCAGTAATCAACCATAAAGCTTTCAGATATGTGTTAGATTAAATTGCATACCATATTAATTTTTTTTTAAATAATATTACATATTATAATTTTCACAGCACTTGATCCAGGTCCTTTTTAGATCTAATAGATTGGACAATGATGTAATTTAAACCTGTATATAAAATTCATCTCTATATTTTTTCCCCTTTACTTGACAGTAAAAAAAAAAATATATATGCTTAAATCATCTACATTGCCAAAAGCAAAGAAATATATCCATAAATTGGTAAGTATAATCAATCATGAAAAAGAAATGCCTGTTTATTGGTAAAATTGCCTTCCATATCTTTCTATCATGTTGGACTAAAATCTTGCAACCTTACATTCTTTTCCAAACACTCCATGACTTCATGGCCATGCAACAAATTTCTTTGCAAAACATGCTATGTGCACAAACATTTATAATATTGAATTCTCAATAACATAATGCCATGTAATTTCCGACCAATACCTATAACTTACTTTCTCAAAATTTCTAACAGTATACTCTGAGCAAATGTGTGTGGTATCAAAAAGCAGATATGTTATAGCCCTTCAAATTATAACTTGGAAAAAGAGAAAAAAAGTACAATATTTTGCATAGACAAACAATGAAAAATGGAGACAAAAATATTAGATTCCTCTGACAGAAATATTTTTTATCTATTCAACTTTAACAAACAACAATCCTATCTTTCAACCTTATAACCAATATCAAAATCATGTCATGAAAACCACAACAAATGGATAATTTTAGAATAAAA